TTCGTTATTCAATTACGATATTATTGAAATTGATTTGAAATAAATTTGGTGCACAGTCAATATATCGTATTTTAATACATAGGATACTTTATGTACTAAAATCGAGGGAAATAACTAGTACTGCTAATATTACAATCATAAATAACATAAATAAAGTTACGGCTATTTAAAAGAGTGCCTGCTTAATATATATATAGGAGACTAATCTGAAAACATATCCTTTCATATCTATAAGTACTTTCCAAATCGGTTTATATATGGCAAAGCTATGACGTAATAAAAATATAAAAAAAAAAACAAACGAACCTTTTTCTTTTTTTTTGTGAAACTTAAAATGTCAAACAAGCTGACGACCCTGCTTCTTATTCGATGTCGGTTAAAAACAATAAATTACTTTCCACAGCCATACAAACAAAATAATATCGTTGTCGCTCTCTCGAAATAATTGAATGCCATTTAGGTATTAAAGAAATGAGTTATCTTAAATTCATATGTATTCGTACTTACTTACATATTCGAATTAATGAGAAGAAAATTCAATTTGAATATTACCATTTCATTTTCGTGTTTGCGTACGGACAGATTTGTCGAATGTTCAGATTAACGTATTCCTTTTAACTGTATAAGTTTGTAAACATTAATTTAACGAGAGGGTTTCGTGAATTACACCCCCCTCGATTATTTCCACTTTGTCTGTTCTGGTAACGAAATAAGTAAATTAAAAGTTTTAATTCGTTTTTATTTTACTACTAGCTACATGCCGCGGCTTTGAATGAATGAATGAATGAGTATACTTTATTTGCATTATACAATATAGGAAATAAGCAAGGCAATTTACAAACACAACGATACAATTATAAAAGTACTTATATAAGTAAGGCGGTGTTATTGCTGAGAGCAATCTTTTCAAGACAACCTTAAGGTAATGGACTAATTGTTCATCTTTTGCAAATTAAAAATATATTAAATATGTATATATATATATATATATGTATGTATGTGTGTATGTATATCTATTTGTGTGTGTGTATATATATATATATATATATATATATTAGATATATATATATATACACACACACACACACACACACACACGCACACACACACACACACACACACACACACACACATAGATTCGTCACGTTGGTCACTAACTGACCTGCTTTCATCCTCACCTATTTATTTGTCACTGGTGCCCCGCTAGTGTATACCAATAAAGCAGGCGAGGTCACTATTTCATTTTCACCTATTAAAAAAAATATATCCCATATAATATACGTAAATATTCCAAGTATATACTAGTTACATAAACAATTGCTGATAAATGCTAGTCGTTTATATTTATAAACACACTCATTCATGCGTTATTTATAGCATTGTCGAACCTTGTTTTTCTTGTTGATGAATAGAATCACAATCAAGCTTCTACCGTGAAGCGGAACCATAAATTTATGGCCGATATTTCACGGAACAAGGAATTGTCTAAGAAAAGGATCAGGTGGGTAGAAATTAACGAGAGACGAAACAAAAGGATTCTAATTTCCAAATATCTCAGATTCACCACCAATTAAAAGTTAGCGCTTTGTCGACACACCAACCGGGCGATAACCGATCGCCCATCCTTTTGTTCATAATGTCAGTGAAAGATGGCTTTCTTTTAATAATATTCATGCTAAAATAAGACAATAACAACAATAGGCTGTGGTAATAATTTATTACGCAAAAAGCTGTATGCTTAAATATAAAAAAAATGCCATGTTGAAATGTTTGGGGTTACATTTTTTCTAACATTGATTTTGTAATAAATTGATTACTGTAATAAATTATTATTCTTAAAACTCATGTTCATTTTTTAACGACGTTTTTATTCATGCTCAACGAGAATTTTACGAAGTTACTGTGTTTGTCGAAAAATTTTCGTTGTGCATGTACATATATTAATTTGATCTTTTATTTAATAATGTAGTTTCGGCCTTTTGAGTATTAAATACTATTATTTCCACTCATTGAGGGTATTAAAACCAATTATCACTTATGCGAGAGTGGTGTCCTCTAGTGTCAAGATTTTTTAGGCCACCTTCATTATACATGAAGGCCTTTGTCGAGTCATCCAACACTGGATTTCTACAACCTCGGATGTGGTATATCTGTCATTGTCAGAGAGTTTGTTGAAGATTTTATTTACACTCCAACTTCCAGCAGCAATCAAATGCTATATTGAAACCTTCAAGAAAAGAGCAGATTCCTTCTTAAAACGCCGGTAGTACACTTGCAGTTGCTCTGATGTTACGGGTGCCTATAGGCGGTGGTAATCACTTACTATTTAGTGAGCCGATGCTCGTATGCTTTCTATGTTATAAAAAACACATAGTTTAATTTAGATAACGGCCAATTTATTACGAGGATCCTGATATTGTATACTGTGGACACAACTAACTTCTTAGGTGGTTTTCTAAACTGATCCGACCCAGTAAAAACCCTGGATTTAAGAGGTAAAAGATTATAACTCAGACTACACTTAGCTCCAAGGATCCCAAAATGGAATTCCAATTTAAACTCTGAATTAGGCGAAAAATGATTATAATGGAATCTAACAGCCTTATTGCTAATGCCATACGATTCCCTCTGGAAACAATCGTAGTTAATTCTTATGTAATTCGTCACGATGGGTTAACTGACCTAGTTTCATCCTCACCTATCATGTTTCTACCTAGTGCTCCGTCAGCGTATAGCAATAGTGCAAGCGGGGTTATTATTCCATTGAACATTATAGAATACAACAATTAATATCTTTTCGTTTTTCAGTCATCGTTAAAAAGTCATCGTTCGATAAGTGTTCATCGAGCGAGAAGGCGACCAAAAACTCCTTATACTAAAGGGCGCCACTATCCTCACATGAATGGCAGTAGTAATCCTCATCATATTGATTTTCTACGTGCCTGTACACAATACATAACAATATAAAACGTTGAATTCTTCGAGCAGTGTATTACGATCAGATCTATTTACCGCAATAGTGTTTACGTACTCGTTTCACAACTGCTTCTTCGACTCCAGTGCTCAACACGTAATGCAATCTGGCTTGAATGAACATTGTCTATACGATAAATAGGTGTATAACAATAGGAAATACTCACAACTTTGTACTCATTCTATACTTGTAAACCCTGTATTTCATACATTTTTTTAAACAATATGCACTCAGACAATTCTTGTTGACAAGCTCTTTATTAAGTCATAATCTTTTATCAATCTATTGCAGGGTTCGGCAGGTTGTTTCTACTGTTGAGAAGAATTTCGAAGAAACTCGACAATCACTTATAAAATATCTGTTAATATTACGTGGGTCAATTTAAATGTTTAAAATAACATAGTTATTTAAAAGCCCGTGCATGATAGACTAACACAACTAACAGAGGAATACACCATATAAAACACATCTGTAGGTGTACTTCTATTCCATTCATGGTTCTGCCATTTGGGTTTAAATGGTGGAATATGGTAGCATAATTGCTCCTTAGAAAATAAACAGTCTTTCTTAATTAACAAATACAAATACGTTCAATTCATTGAATTGCTCGAACAAAGTTTATTGATGCTTCAGTTAAAACTAATGTAACTATAGTTAACTTCCAGTTGAAACACGCTCAGATTTACATACGATCAGATAACTGGAACTAAGTAGTTGACAGTGATGTAGTACTGATTGTATTGTGTGTGGTGTCACATAGACAATGTAGCACTATGCTAATACGAGTACCACATTGCAATAGGTATGTATTATCTAGACAGAAAAAAAAAAAACAATCTGAACGCGTCTCTGATTCCAGAACCAATCTGGAGTATGTTGGTAATGGGCCAGTCGGCAATGAATCCTTATAAAGGGCGGTCGGCGACGTGACTCGATTACAATCGATGGATAAACATTAATACTCCAGTACTACGAGTATATGGATATTATTCGATTTCGTAACGGTCTATACAAACAGACCATGTAAAATTATTTTCCGATAGAAATACGTCATCTTTATGGTTTATAAGAGACGTTAATTAACGCTTTCATTCAAGTAAACTATAACAATTTACCTAAGATATCTCGACGTTTCAACCAATGTAGCGGGGGAGAGAAGGTATTGTAAATAACGGAGATTAGTCGCTCTAATAGCAAAATTGCTAGCAATATGCCCTATTAGGTCTACTTTTTCACAGTTTTTCCTATAAACCGTTTGTTCAATTCCAAGAGAACTCATCACAATTTGCTAACAGACCTGCCTTTTCATTTTCACTTTTCACTTACTGGTGCCTTGCCAGCGCCATTACGATTAGTATTTTTACCATTGATACCATTAGCATGGGGTTACCATTCCATTATCGACCATTCAAAATAAAACCGGTGTAGCGTTGTCATGCCTCCGTTACCGAGGCAGAAGTTTTTTCTCCTACCTGTTGCGTCAGTCTATTCGTGAATACAGCCAATGCAACCAGGTCGAAGTGTTAAGATAAGTTAGGTAAATTATCATAGTGTACCTATATAAATAATTGCATTAATTACCGTCTCTTCTAAACCATAAACCATGCAAAGCAAAAGTCTAAAAATTAATTAACATTACACTATATAACACTACTATATTATTATATTACTAAGTAATAATTTCTTGTACTTAATTGTTTGTATCTATAATAAGTTTACTATTGTAATCTTTTGGAGGAAACAATAAAGAGTATCTATCTATCTATATTATAAATATTAAAGTTAATTTTGGTGTCTTAACGATTTAATCAATATTAAATTTAGCATATGGATAGTATGTAGTATATTATTAAAAATATATATTTACCAAAATAAAAAGCAGCCTTTAGCACTCATAATATACCTTTAAACACACGAAGCATGCTGTGGTTGCCTCTAAATGTAAGAACAGACCTAATCTACTAGTATATTGTATTAATTGGACCTTAACGTTAATTAAATCATGAATCGTCTTTATTATAAAAAAACTTATCGCTCTATATACACATATTTATTTATTATATTACTTTCTGTTACACGTCTATTAACTGTCGTATTTGAAAACTATTACAGGGAACTTTTGCACAAAGCTTAGTACCGTACCGTCGTCTCTTCTGGTACTGACAGTTTCAACGACGCGAATCGAGTGTCCGAGGAATGTAGAAGCCTGAAAGAGAAGCATTAAATGCTTGAAGAAAAAACGTTCTACGAAATAAGTACGTCTCGTACAAGGCACAATAATCGTACTTTGATAACAGATTGAGGCCATTATTTGATTTATATAGTTATAATTCTTTACAGTATTCTATTGTGTGTGCAAATAATTTCTAATCCTTACTATAATATATGTACATAAATAAATATGTGAAAGCGAGTTTGTTTGTTTGTTACCTCTTGGAATTTTATTTAATCTTCGAAAAATTTGGTATTATACATGAGATGGTAAACATGGGTAACACTGCGCTTCGACGCGCAATTGCGCCAACTCACTTTACTATTCTGAAAGTATCAACTTACTTCTTCAAAATAAGTTGACGCACAGCGCAGTACTGAGAGACGTGGAATGGGCTTATATGTATGTAGTAGTGTAGGTATTAAATGTATGTAAATGCACTGTACAATGTATGAACTGGCTTGTCAATCTGTGAAGTACCTCTTAACGAAACCCCGTCGGCATGGAGCCCGCTTCCGTTGAAGAAGTAATCAAGTTTCTCTCGAAATAGAACGTGAAATTTTTGCCGATCTTATTTATGGGGATGATTTAAACCGTCCACAAGTGGCTAAAAAGATTCAGAGAGGGCCGAGATATATCAGGACGTCCTTACTTCACATTCCGACGAAAACGTGGAAAGAATTCGAACTTGTGTTAATGGGGACCGTCGTTTAACGGTCAGACAGGTGGCTGAAGATAATTTGGGCAAAACCGTGGTCCACGAAATTCTAAGAAACGAACTTCAAATGAAAAAATTTGCGCCAAGATCGTTTCCGTGAGTTTTTGAGTAAAAATTCCATTACGGTGACCGAACACCCCCCCTATTCGCCGGATTTGGCCCCGTGTGACTTCTTCTTGTTCCCAAAAACCAAATTGGTACTTCGGGGGCGGCATTTGGGGGACATAAATGAGATTACGACGGGGCAGCTGAGAAACCTACAACCAAAAAAGCCTTCTCACAGTGGAAACGGCGTTGGCACAAGTGCATTATCTCACAGGGGGAGTACTTTGAAGGGGATAAAAGTGATTTACCTGAATAATTGTAAAATAAAATTTTTAAAAAACTTTTATACGTACTTTCCGGACAAACCTCGTACAATGTATGAATTAATGTAAACAAAAGTGAAAGTAGAAATAGAACGAGTTTTATTTATTTATGTTTTAAATACAGCACAGCGATATATGTTACCCTGCGCACCGGCACCATAGCACAAATTTGAGCCGGCGCAATAGAATGCGCCAGATTTACTGAGTTGACGCAAAAAAAAAATCGTCGAGTTACCCATGTCTATCAGATGGAGAAGGCATAGGCTATTATTTATCTTGATCAGTGAACATATCTCGGTCACGCGGACGAAGTTGATGGTAAATATATATATATATATATATATGATTTATTTTGTATAAGTATGCATTATTTTCTGTTAGTTTCTTTACCTATCCCAATAATGAAGTTTTCACTTTATTCGTGATTCACTCTATTCATCCCAAAAGTTGACTGGTAGAGAATGCTACTAGCATTAAATCGCCTTTTGTACTATATTTTCTTTAAGTCAATATAGTTATTTAAATCAAATTAAAATTAGTTTATCAAATCGATCAAAAAAAATATTTTCGGTATTTATTAAAAGGAAAAATAAAGCAAAAGTGTCTATGTCCCTAGAAGGATTGCTAAATTGAAACCGCTATGGCGATAACCTAAATAGAAACTAGTATCAGGAATAAATCATTGGAAAAATTTAATTCACGCATACCCCAGTTGTAACGATAAACGACGGGTGTTTACTTTTTATTGATGTTTTTGTGGCTTATATTGGAGTTGTATTGATTTGTGTTTGTATGAAACACAAAAATAAATTGGAATTCGCCGCGGTAACCCTAAATCTAGTGATTTATGTATAAACACGTTCATACATAGAAACCAGGGTTTAGACATTTTAGTTTAGATATTTTGCCAGAAATGTATATATCTAAATATGACCTCTATTTTTAAATCTTATAAGCTGTCTATCTACTACTGGACATAGGTCCTCCTCTCCTTTGAGGAGTTTTGTAGTAGTTGTCACGCTAGGCAGGTTGGAGACTGCAGCTAGCCTTTGGTGATATTTTAAATGTAGCCGCTACTGCCCATTTCTTTACTATTAAATTCTCTTAGTCGCCTCTTATGACACCTACTGGAAAGGAAAGGGTAGCCCATTCTATGTCGGGTCCACACAGCAACTTATGTTTATTATTTATATACGAGTAGGTATTTATATACAAATGGATAACGTAAATTTTATTAGTGGAAAACTTTGTACAAAAGTTTTGTGCTGGGGTACATTTGTTCCAATCGTGTTTTAGTCATATGGGGTATACCCCATACACTAACGACATAGAATCCTTACATCATCCCAAGTACCACTGCCTATCATATTTTTGCAAATATTTTATTTTTGGCAAAGTTGAAGTGTTTTTTAATTTACAGAGCTAACACTTGTTTACCCCGATATATCTACGTATCTCGATTACACCGTCGGAAATACGAGTAGATATTAGTCAACTATAATTTTTAAGGAGTGTAAGGAAATGCCATGAAGTCTTGGCATATTATAGGCCACGCTTTCCTCTCTCATGAGTGTCGTAAAAGGCGACTAAGGGAATTTAATGGTAGAGGGATCAGCAGCATTTCTCTTTAAACATCACCAAAGCCTGTTGTTACCAATTCGCTTGGTCTGATTGCCAAGTATGGCAACTACTGGTAAATTGCCCCTTATGAAAGATGTCTATGTTTAACAGTGAACAGTTAACAGTTTATATCATGATCATCAAGGCAAAGTAAGTGACAAACGGAGTCGCCGATACGGTTAGTATTATATTAATAAAGCTACTACACTAGTCTAATACGAACTATTATAGAGTACTAATTAAAAGCTAATGTTAGGATACTGAGCTGAATATCTGTCATACAGATGTGTAAGACACTGTACTCGTAATTGTAACGTTAAGATATTCCACAAGACAAGACAGGCTCGTGCCGTTGAATATTAATAGTACAAATAAACTAATGAAGCACCCTCTCAATAGACCTTTGAGTTTAATATTATTAAGAACTCCTTTGTAATCCTAATGAAATTTCAAAAAATAGAAATCATATATATTTTCCTATTATTTTTTTATACAACTTAGAATGGCAAACAAGCTGACGGCAGATCTGATGGAAAGTGGTAACCGTCGCCTATAGACATGAGCATTATGGTACTGCTCATGTCTATAGACGACTTCTTCCATCAGGAGCGATTTATTAATAGTTGCCATGTTTGGCAGGCGGGTTTGCAACGTTAGTTAGGCTTCGGTGATGTTTCAAGAGAAATGCTGTTGATCTCTTGACCATTAAGTTCCCTTAGTCGCCTTTTACGACACTCCAAGACACGAAGGGGTGGGCTATGTTATACCGGGATTTTTTTTTATACAACTTAGAATGGCAAACAAGCTGACAGCCCACCTGATGGAAAGTGGTAACCATCGCCTATAGACATGAGCAGTACCATGGACATAACACAGTGTACTATTTCGCCCATGATACCCCCCATGCGTTGCCATTCCTGAGGACTCAAGTGTTATTCCTCTGTACCCAGTAAATTCACGCCATATCCCATCTATCAAACCGAAACACAGTCATGAAAACACAATTGCATCACGGTAGAAACACGAATGGGACAGAGGTACCCAAGCAATCGACTTTTGTAGAAAGTCTCCCTCTGGTGAGGGAGACTACTATACTGTACTGTAACATCGTTATCTGACGATTTTTTACTATTATATCAGTAGTTAACTGTCCACTGCTGAACATAGGTTTGTCGCATAAAGAGGAGTTTGCCTGTAGTTGCCACGTTTCACAGTCAGGTTGGTAACTGCAGTTAGGCTTTAGTGATATTTTAGGAGGAATTCTGCTGCCTATCTCTAGAGTATTAAGTTCCCTTAGTCGCCATTTATGACACCCACAGCATAAAAACCCACTCTATGGCAGGACCATACATATACGAGTATCTTTATGAATAATACTCATCCCTTATGTCATATAGACAGAGCAAGTATCAAAAACAGGTCAACATTAAGGAGCTAAATTCTCGTTTGTGTGTGGGTATACACCCACATTTATACAAATGTATGTATAAAATTTAAATAAACTTATAAGAATTACTACTTCATATAAACTCTTATTGACTCTCGAGTCACAAAATTACCTAGCACTAGATGGAATAAAAAAATCTGTTTATTTATTTTTGGCAGCTACCTATTTATTATATTTTATCAATAAACTTCAATATTATTATCAAATCCAAATAAAATCTAAATTTATTTAAAGGTAAACCAAACATTCTTAAACTGTTACAAATTCTTTATATACTCTTATATTCATACCATCGTTCTTCTAAACTGAAAAGACTTGATATTATGTCCTTAATTTATTTTTCGCCTATTTAACTATTTTGTAATAAGCACTTTCAATAAAAGGGGTCTGTACCTACAAAAACCAAATCGTTCCACACTAAGAGCCCTCGAGCCTTTTACTCCATTGAGACAGCCTTTGAAGTACACAAAACAAACATAGACAAATTTGTTTCATGTTTATTTAATATCATTAATTTATCCTTTCACAATTTACGTGGCACAAATGATCGTGCTCTTTAAAGATGTATAGTTTAGTGTTGCCAACATTTATCGTTAAGTATCGATTAAAAATCGACACTTAACGATAAATGTTGGCTGGACATAAGCCTCCCATATAGATTGCCATAAAGAACGGTCCCGAGCCACCCGCGTCCCCGCCAGGAATAGCCGAGCCTCCGGGGACCGGGGGCCGTTTCTTTACAGTGGGGGGTTTTTCCAGTAGTTGCTACGCTTGGCAAGCAGATTGGCAACCGCAGTTAGGTCTTTTGAGATATTTTAAGAGGGACGCTGCTGCCCATACT